AAAAAAAAAAAAAAATGAAGATTTGGATCACCTATAACACTAAGCACCTACAATTCTCTGAGACACTTTTAGGGAAAAAGGAAACTATAAAACAGCCAGAAAGAAGGACCTATGTTTGATCTTTTGACCAAACGAAGAGACTTTTTTATTTGTCATTCATTCATTTATTCATTTATTTACTTCTAAATTGTGTATATGTGCCTGCATGCATACACACACAAATGCTTTAACGCACATGAAACTACATCCTAATAGGCCTAAGTAAACTGAACATAAGATTAAAACAAGAATATGGTTAATAATATTTAGTCTACCAAACAACATAGCCTGACAAAGCTGCTCTACAAGTATCACTTGCTTATTACTGTGGTTTTCTGGCTGACTGGGAGCAAAGTTTACTGCCAAAGATTCCAAAACAGATCATACCACCAATCACTAGTCTGGAAATGAAGCCAAATCTAAACCTCAGCCTCAACTGAATGTGTATCACTCTTGCACTTACTGGGAAGCCAATAAGTCATCAAACGGAGCCATTGTAATCAGGGAACATCAACATATAGCACTTTCTCCCTTCACTAATAATTTCCTCTAGTGGTTAACTGTATCTCAGAGCCAAAGTTACAATCTATCTAAGGGTGGATTTGTTTGGGGAAAAGAGAAATGAACAGCACCCACCTATGGATAGTATCACTTTGTGGATGCTCTTTGGGGTAGAAGGCTAGAAGGCTAGCTGGTGTTTCTTATGCAAACAGTAGTTGGATCCATTTTAGGTGTATTTTTGCTTTAGTTCTTATTTGTAAGGAAACATGGTTTACACATGAATGAGTATGGAAGTTACACTGACAAAGACTGCACTGTACATGACTGTGCTGAGTCAGTTTGGCTACAGTGAGGAATAGTATTTCCCAGAACCCCCTTCCCTCTATTCTTCAGAGTAACAGCTAGCCCTGGAAGAAATGTGTGTGCGTGTGTGTGTGTGTGTGTGTGTGTGTGTGTGTGTTTCCCCAAGTAGAGGAGAGACAGAAGTCATCGAAGTGATTTCCAGGCTGCTTCACTTTTCCTTACTGAACATCTATCTCAGCATTCCTCTTGTTTAACTCATTGCCACTCAAGCAGGGGTCTCCTCTAGCCCACAGACCTTGTGGCTCTGTGGTTTCTTGGTTCTCCAGAGACCATTCCACTACCTGAACAACTGATAGGACATACTGGACTACCCAACAATTTCCAAGGGGTTCCCACTATCCACCCTCTCAATACTTTTTGAAGATTAGGTAGCCACTCTCTCATCTACCAGTTTTTATTCAACAGAAACTTCGCTAGCCAGCTCCTCCTTTGTGTTGAGTTTTTGTAACTCCGTATTTTTACATATCCATAAAGGATTCTGTTTTCCTGACTGAATTCTGACCGATAAAGGAACATGAACAGAGAACTGTTCCTTTTTTTTTCCTTCACAAAGCCCTTAAAGGAATCCAAAACACATACAGTAATGTGTTATGAAAGTATGGCTCACCTATGTAATGCAAAACCAAACAGGAAGTCTGGAACTAAGCCTGGATGTTCACCTGGCAATCACTGCCCCTTGAGTTCCTCATCCAGGTAAGTGGATTAAATGTAATTACAGTACTCTTTGTTGAGAAAACCACCAGGGGGCAAAGATAGCATCTTAATGCAAAGCAATAACAGTGAGAGTTATTTAGCTAGCACCCAGTACATAAGCATTATTGTCCTCTGCAGTTTAGTAAGCTACCTTTTATCTCTATGGTTCTTGCAGGTTAGATAAGATTATCCTTGTTTTACTAAGAAGAAACAAATACCTAAAGAAGGTATACAATATTTCCAAGTTATACCACTGGTGAATCCATCGTAGGCCTCTTCAATTCCAAAGTAAGTGTTTCCTTCTAGGAACATTTGGAGTGTGCTTCATAGAAATTATATCAAAGTTGGTTTTCAGTGCCCTTCTGTTTTGTTAGAAATCGTATCTTACCACCTTATAGCTCCTGCTAACCTTACTCATCTGAATCCCTGTAAATCAGCTCGATGCTGTGTTTCTTCCTTTTTTACCTTCTCCCAGACTAGTACATTGGAAAAGCTCTGATGAACAAAACTATTGTATTATTGACAAGTGGTAGCTGAGTATTTCCATGTTTATGGTCCTAGAATGGAACTTACTCATTTATTTATCAGATATTTACTTTTCTCTGATTAGCTCATGAATGATTCTATCTCAATACTAAAGAAACAATTAAAAACTATCAATCAGGTTCTCTGATATTTCTATGGGATATTTTCATTGAGAACAGAATGCATTATCACTCAGGGCAACCATTCTACTTTTGCACAGCTGCTAACTGTGAAATGGTATTCCTTTGGTTCTTCTGAATTCCCGCTCCATTGAGATTTTGACGTGTAAATTCTCACTACAGTGTATGGAATAGGGCCAGTTCAATTTGGTCATATGGTAAGTCCTAGAGCTCCTCTTCTTTTTTGCTCAAAATTGGAGGGTTAGAAGTTTATGCCTCCAGCAGCATTCATTGGAATTAATTACAAAGAACTCAGCCTTGTCAATAGTTCTCATCTTGGTGATTAATTCACTGGTTTTCATTCTCATGGTGATATGGGCTCATAGTAGTCTATGACTAAATTTTCTTTCTGAGTTCTCTCAATTATTGCATCTGGCTTTAATGCATAGGACAAAGCATGTGGTTAAAAACACCCAATGACTGAACAAATTCTTCATCTAATACTTACCTTTACTTCATTCAATCTGTGAAAAAGTATTATGTGTTGGACACTATGCTACACTGTAAAAGACAAAACAAGAATGAATTCTAACCCTCACACCAAATAATCTGAAATTACCAAAGTTAAAAATCTCCACTTCTTGATGACTCATCTATGAAGCTGCTGTGCCTCAACTTGTGTATATTCTATCTATCAGATAGAGTAATGACCTTTTCTATAAGATCAAGTCCTAAAAGTACTATCAAGGGTATGCACTGTACTGAGCATCATGTAGATTCATTTAAAACTTAAGATTTTGAATACTGCCCCAAATGACTGCTCTCAGTTCAAAAGCAATCAATTTCTCCCATGGAAATATGCACACGATCAAGAAATCCAGTAAGTGGAAAATACTATACTTTTAATCCAATTTCTATCATTTAACTTTCTGTAGGGAACAATATTTCTCATTTGATGTCCTCTACAGGATCTAAGGCATTTCAAAAAGTATAATTCAATAAACTCATTAATGCGATAGAATCAACTTAAGAACTGCCAACGATTATAATCAAAACAGCATTTAGCAGAAGAAATCTTGAAATTTTGTGCAAAACAGTGTGTCTGCAGGCCATTTTGTGCAGCTCTTTTATCAGACTCAGAAAAACTATAATCAAAATAATTTCTGCACTTGGTAGGTGCTAATTAAATATCAACTGGTTTCCAAGTATTATACTTGGGCTCAGAATCTGTAAGCTTTTTTGACAATGTAAGAATACTAAGTACATCAAAATTTTACAGGAGCTTTGATATACAGCATTAAAATCAATGCATAATTATTAAACACATTTGTATCCTAAATCAGCATCAGCAGTTTGATATTTTCTGGTAAAATATGCTATAAAAAAATCTAAAAAAAATATGCTATAGAAGTATATTCTGATTGGCTTCATAGAAAAGACACACATGCACATATTATTCAAGATATATTTAGTGGATTATGCTTTGCAAATTGAGTAAAATAGCTGTAATTCATACACAGCTAGTTATCATTTAATCCTAACAAGAACAATGAAATCCTTGTCTTTTAGAAAAACAATAACATATTAAGAAAACTTCACAAATTTGTATTGTAAGCAGCTTCTTTGGGACCTTTCTACTGACTGAAATAAATAGCTAAATAGTTTTCAAATGCAGCAGGTGAAGAAAAAAATATTTTTAAAAACTCAAGAATACCTCTGTTTTAATAGCAATTCTGTCCTTTTGAATGTTTTATATTTCTCCCCAATAGATTAAACAGTATCTCTAGAGATCCAGTCAACACTTTTTATGGGCAGCTAGTGTACTTTTCTGAATAAAATTATTTTTACCTTTGAGAATGGATACCCTCTTTTTACCTCAAAGGAATGGAAAGAGATATTCCCTGCATACAAACATAAGCACAAGGATTAAAATAAGTATCCACAATAGAAACAGAAACTCAATCTACATTATGAAAAGTTTATTTTAGGATAATCCAAATTTGTTATTTTTCAAATTTGTTAACTTACACTACTTAGGAAATCATGCGTTTCTAACTCACTATGTAGAACTAAATTGCAGTTAGTGATAGTGGACAGAAGATGGCGAACTTTCATTTAATTTATTTAATAGGCTTTAGTGTAACAAAAACTTAACTAACATTTTCTTTGCACTTTTTAAAAATTATAAATGGTAGCAAGAGAAAAAAAGATATCCTAAAAAGCAATGAAGTCACATTAAAATTTTCTGCCTTACTACTGATTTATCTGCAAATAAAATGTATCTTAAATTTTTTGACTTTTGGATGTTCTGTGAATACAGAACAAAAAGAAGCAATAGTTTTAGAATAATAATTACTTAGAATTAAATCAACTTTTAAAAGTCTGCCCCTTCATTTTATATTATACTAGATTGCTCTTTGTAATTGCATTTTACAATATAAGCATTTTACAATAAACAACCTTTCAATACAATAAAAACAAGTATGGTTTTAAAACAGCAACTATACAAATAAAAATTCAAGAGAAAAATTCATTGAAACAGCTTTAGTCAAGGCACGGACAATGTTCAAATACTTGTGTTTAATTAATGCTAAAGAAGTCTTCAAATCTAAAGTCTATTACATTGCTGCCCAAAATATAGTATTCTTTTAAGGCCTAGTTTGCTCGTATTGCTATAAGTCTGGAATATTCTGAAACAAGAGAATAGGCAGATCCATTACAGACTGTCCTGATTGGGTCTGAAATACAGCCTACCACTAGTTATTGTGTTTTTACTGGGAAGGTAAGAAGTATCTCTGATCATTCCTGAGAAGGCATAATCCAAAGCTGGCCTGAAAGGCACCGCTGGAACCAACCCAGGTGTTAGGTAGGGAGACATAAAACCAGATAGGCCTCGGCCAGGAGAAGAATATGCCAGTCGCAATGGACTAAAAGCTAGTCTAGGACTTAAGCTGTAGAGCCCTGAATCAGCCCGGTAAGAAGCTGATGTAGACTGAAGAGGAGAGAAAGCTGATTTGTTACCTACAGGTCCAAAACCAATTCCAGCTAGACTAAAATTTGAAGCTCTTTGAAAAGTTGTATTTTCCAAATCTCCTGAGAATGGCAGATGCCTGGTATCTGGCTTGTGTTCTTTCCCATTCAAGACCTGCTCAATGGCTTGGACTACATCTCCTTTGCAAAACTGTAGGATGCCTTCTAGCCGGCTGCGTTTGTAACTCGGGAAAATCTTGGTAAGAATACCAAGAGGGTCTCTTGATCTTGAGGACCCTGTGGAAAGGCTGGCTCTGGTAGCAAAGCAGTCTCTGGCCCACTCACTTTCAGTTCCTGACTCCAGATCGGAGGATGATAAGGACCTAGGGCTGTCTTCTCCTCCTGATTGGTCCCCTGGACAAGGAGACAGAATGCTACCATGCACATTTGAATGCTCTGAAATAGATGGATTGATACTTTGTTTCCCAGTGATGCCTTTAGACTGAGGAGATGATCTCACAGAAAGTTGACGTGTGTTGGAGACGGGATCTTCTTGTTCACTCTGACATGAGTCATATTTGCTCTCTTCTTGTTCTGCAGAAAGAAAAGAAAAAGGAATCAAATATAGGAATGGTGTTGCCAGAACCTGGTATTGACCATTCAAAAATAGCCATCCACTCAAAATATATTAGTAATATTTATATGTGCTAAAAACATTTTAATAAATAACTCAAGCATAAAGATCATTCCAAATTTACCTGTGCTGGAAGAGTTGGAAAATGCTGTTTCTTATATCATTTCAGGATCATAAAGACAAGCAACATGTAAATGCACGTCGTATTTAGGAAATCAGAACCTGGTACCTGGTATTACCCACAAGTATTGATGTCACCAATGGGACCACAACATCACACACTGCACACTTGCCTCATCTTGGCAGTTTAGTACTTGCCTAAATGTCTGCCAAGTTTTGTTACATAAAAAAGGTTGTTATCTTTCCATAGTAATATGTCAAAAGGAGTAAGTAAAAGAGTTAGGATTAATCATAAATCAAAATAAAAAGGGCTGGGAAGGTGGCTCAGTGGTAGAGCGCTTGCCTTGCATGCCTGAGGCCCTGGGTTCGGTTCCCCAGCACCACATAAGCAAAAAAAGAAAAAAGCTGGAAGTGGCACTGTGTCTCAAGTGGTAGAGTGCTAGCCTTGAGCTGAAGAGCTGAGGGACAGCACCTAGGCCCAGAGTTCAGGCCCCACGACCGACAAAAATAATAAAAAATAAAAATAAAAAAGAAGAATCTTGCTTACATTCGTTAAATATTCTAGTTAGTAACTAATGCTAATTTTCACTAATCCATTTTTTGTGCTCACATTTCAGGTCCCAATTAAGTCATTGAAATGATGTAGAAAAAAAATGTGTTCATTTTCATTTCAAATTTGAAGTCAGCAGTGACTCCTTCTGTACCAGTCTCACATCATAATAGGTTTGCATATTTCGTTTCATGTGGAAAATGATAAAGACTTGGAATTTTTCATAATCCTTTGTAAAATATGCTGTTTTCCTTCTCATATCCTAGAAATATTAAGAAAAGAGTTTTACAATGAAAGGAGAAATATTGATCAAGACGTGTTGCACTCACAACTAACATGTTGAATGATAACTCTTTTGCACAACTACCTTAAAGATAATAAAAATATAATGTAAAATAAAAAGTTTTAAATCAAATTGTTTCTGAAAGAAAACTATGAACTTCTCTGTTAAAATCTCTATGGATACTCTGTGTCTTGTAACAAAAACAATGTATTAATTTGCTTCAAATCACACCTCTCCCCCAACATTATGGGAAATTTTCTAAAAGTGCTTTATGTGTAAAAAAAATCTGACTTTTCTATTTTAGTGTGTTAAGCCTATAAATAAAGAATGTTTCCTTTCTTTTGCCAAGTGAACACCAGGAAAACAATAATAAAGTACACACTCACCAAATGACTTTGTTTGGGTTTGTATTTCCTCTTACTCTACAAATACACTTTATCCTTGGAAGAGGAAATCATCCAAAGGGGTAGCTCAGAGTACTTTGTATGACTTTCTTTGTCTACAAAGGTCATGAATATATGAAAATAAGTACTACCTAAAACAATGACCCACAACCATGAGATTTATAGCACTCTTGCATTTTTCTCCAGTTATCTTAAGGAGTGGTCCTTCATTCCAAACAAAAGTCTACTTTATCTTTAAAGATAAAATAAGTGTATACAATTCAGTCTATTGAGGGTCAGAAATGTTGTTGTTGTACCAGAGATATGATGAAAGAATGTAGCTACTGCAAGATTATAAAGACTCTGCTGTTTTCAACTTTGAATGATACAATAACTTTCCAAATGAAGTCAGCCAAGTGGAAAATGCTTGGCATAGGACTCCTTCCATTTTACTTATAAATACCAAAACTTCCTCTCCACAGTGATTTATGCATAAAAGTAATAATGTCTTTTGTATTCATGGTACAATTATATGCAAAAACTGTTGATTGTATAAGCTATTTTAAAATTAAAATGACTTTAAAATACTAAGGTAACATTCATTTCACCTTTGTCTTTTCAACTTCTATTTCCTGCTTTACCTCTTCCAATGTCTTTTATTGTAGTTACAGACAGTCTTTTTATATAAATAAATAAGGCTGTTTTGATAGGAAAATCTTATTCACCTCTGAATCATTGTTGGTTTTAGTCTAATAAATGAATGAATTAAGCAGAATATTTTACTGCAGTTCATGAATAGGTGTAAGAATAGGTACTCAGTTTAGAGAGTTAAGTTGACCCTCCTCCATTGGAGTTTGTCAATTGAGGCCAAAATATAGGCATATAATCCCTATAAAACACAATATTGTGGTACCCCAACCAGTGGCATCAGCCAGCTCTGCCCATCAGTGTAGTTTTAGGAATGTTAACATTTACTTGGCTTTCACTATTTCTCTTTTTAGTGATCTTTCTCATCAGCCTTCCTTGATCTTTCATGAGATGTATTTACCTACTGAAATACAGGACGTGTGTGAAATGTTCAACCAAGTATACACAGAATGATCAGCCACATTTCAATAGAGATGTTCATTTTCCAAAGTACATCCTGTCATTTATTGAGTTTTGCAACTTTCACGATTTAAGAAGTGTTTCCAATTAATAGTTTATCAAATCCTTTTCATAGGCTTTGTATGAAACAACCTGATTGGGATGCTTCCAAAACAGACTGACATGACATTTTCAGGGTTGGTAGGCCCTGGGGGGCGGGGGAGGGGTTGTGAAACTCACAAGAAGACTTTTGGGAACCCTTGGGGTTCACATTAGCAAGAATAACTCATTTGGCCATAACTTGGTAAAAATGCAGATGAGATTAATATGCCAGTGAATACGGAGTCAATAAATAAGAGGAAAAAGTTCAATAAAACTTCTTGGATATGCTGCCTTATAGGTTAAACATTTAGCTTCTTGCCAAGGGCTTCACAAATCTTCAACACCTACCTATATCTTGTAAGAATAACTAAAACTTCAAATGACAGCGCTTTCTACACTTTTGGAGACTAAGAGATGTGGGGAGTGGTTAAAGTAACTAACCAACAACGACAACAAAACTAGACTAAAGGGAAGAAAAAATAAAAAGACTGGTTAGTAGATTTCAGTCTCTTTCCCATTTCCCCTAAGGCACCAAAAATTCGGCCACAGAAGTAAAGAACTGAATTTTTTTTTCCTCCACCAACCAATGAATTTCCCACACAAAATCAGGGCAGTCACTTTTATAACTGGGAACGATGTCCAGTGCGCTCACAAGCCAGCGCCTCTCGCTAACCTTACGGAGGAGGGCCCGGCTCTAAGGGCAACCCGGGCCCCAGTCAAAGCCAGCGGGGGACAGGGGTGCGGGGGGGGGAAGGTGCTGGGGTCAATGGCTTAGTTGTTATCTGGCTCAAGCTTACTTTTTCCTCGTGTTTTCCTATCACCGAAGGGAACCAGCAGAAAGCGTACGCGTGGAGATGGCAGCAGGTCCCTTCACACCCACACTCACCCACATCCCCAAACATTTCCCACCCCTCTGAAGCACTTGCTTTACCTCTCCCACCCCACCCCCACCCTGGGGCGCCGCTCGGCCTTTTAAAGACTTTTTTTTCCTCCCTCCAAACGCCACACTCCCCGGAATACACCCACTCACCGCGCTCGGGCTCCGCGTCTTCTTGCTGGAAAACCTGGAAAGTGGGGATCGCCAGATTCTGCGCCTGTCTCCACGCCCGCAGGCCCAGCGCAGCCGCGGCCTGCGGATCCTCGCTGCGGACGCCGCCTCCGGATGCGGGACCCCGGGTCGCGGAGGGCCCCTGGTACAGGAGCCTCTGCAGCCCTCGCCCTTCGCTCTCTTCTTGCGCCTGTTGGCGACGCAGGGCCACTTGGGCGGCCATGACGCGCTGGCGCTCGGCGATCAGGGTGCACTTGGCACACGCGCAGTCCCGCCAGCGGCAGAAGCGCTTGTGGCCCTTGAGCGCCGACACCACGCCGTGGTTGCGGCAGCGCGCGCATTTGGGCGTCCTGGGGTACCCGCAGCCCACCGCGCCCATCCCCTTGTCCAGCCCCGCGGCGGCCGGGGAGCAGCCGCCGCTTCCCGGGGCAGCGGTGGCTCGTAGGAAAAGATTGGGGGTTCGCAAGAAAGCTGGAGGAACCGGGATCCCCGAGGGCACGGGCACCACAGGGGATGCCGGCAAAGGTGCCGCCGCCGCCTGGAGCAGCCCCGGAGTCCGGGGGGCGCGGCTGCTCGCGCTGGGGTCCCTGCTGCTGCACCGCGGCGGCTCCATCCCGCCAAGGAGTTTCTGCTGAGAGTAGTGACTGTCCCCCGCTAACCAGGTGGGGGGGGTGGCAGGAGGGCCACAAGTTTAAACTCTTCCTGTTCGGAGTTGTGGGCGGCGGCGATGGCGTCCCGGAGCTCGAGAGGCGCAGCTGTCGGAGGAGTCTCCCCGACGCCGCTGTGCACCCGGAGCGCACCGCGGCTCGGGGCCTGCGCTCAGCAAATGCCCGGGGAGAGGCGGCCCCGCCCACCCGCTCCGCGGGGCCTCCGGCCGAAGCCCAGGGGGTGGGGATAGGCTGATGCACCGGGGCGGAGAGTGGGGGCCTGCCTGAAGGAGGGGCGATGGGAGCCCCTGGAAACTGTCTTCTGAAGAGGTAAAGTCGGTCACCTACCCCCCCACACACACACCCCATACAACGCGATCCATCCCACTTGCTTTCCCAAAAGTTCTTCAACATGTAAGTTTTTAAAATTTAAATGTTATTTTCTTGTAAAGATGCTGTATAGGGAGGTTAGGGTTACATCAGTAAGGTAATGAGTACATGGGCATTGTTACCCCCTCCTTTGTTTTTCTTCCGCTATCCCTCCCCTCCCCACTTCTCCACTCCTTCCCCCTGCCCTGCCCCCCTCTTCCCCCTCCCCGCCAAAAATTATAAGGTCCATTTCCAACATTGTATCTTGTGAGTATCATTGTTGCAATGGGTCATCCTGTGTCCTTGTTTCAGGGTTTTGTTATTCCCCTTCCCCTCCCCAAATTAGAAAAACATATACACAAGATGCAAGGTACCAGTATCAAGTACAGTGACAACAGGAATATACCTTAGGAGGAAGGACATACAAAAGAAACAAAAAAAAAGTTCACATAGTACGTGAAAAACAACAACAAAGAAAAACCTCTTGTGAAGAGCTGATTCAAAAAACATTTTATAGTCTTTGCATCCTCTTCGATTTACTCCCAAATTTAACTTTTGAAGTTCGTTCTCCAACTCCACGCTTTCCTACGCAAGTAGGAAGATCTGGATTTTGAGTTCTCTTTTTCTTGGAGACTCTGTGACTCAGTTTCTCAAGTCTCCCAGTCTCCCAAGAGTCTCCCAGTCTCCCAAGACGTCAACTAGGCAAAGTTAGTGAGAAAGCACAGCTTGGAAGACAGCAAGGTAGTTCTCCCGTGGGAAAGAGGTGTGATTTAGAATGGGTTTAGGGACTGCATCGAACAGGGGCTACTTAAGGGAGTTGATTCCCAGTTGGGATTTATGACATGGGGACCAAGTGTTCGTTTGGAAATAGCCCTGCTTCAAAGCATTATGAAGCTCTTCCCTGGAACTATATTTAGAGGCAGTAATTATGATCACTGCTTCAAAACTCCTGACACTTCTATTGTAAAGTATTAGGGAAGGTCTTTTTGACCATTCTTTATATATGCTGTCAGAAAATGCATTTTAATGCCCTTGATTGTAGGAACATATTAAGTTGCTTTTAAACCAAAAGAGTATTTGAGGAAGAAAATTCAGTGGTTTCTTCTTAATGAAAGGGAGAAGGCGGGCGCCTGTGCTCAGGCCTGTAAAGCTAACTAATTCAGGAGGCTGAGGGTTCAAAGCCAGCCCAGGCAGGAAAATCCATGAGAGTCTTACCTCCAATTAACCACCAGAAAACGAGAAGTGGCACTGTGGCTCAAGTGATAGAGCACTAAGAACCTTAAGTTGAAGAGCTGAGGGACAGTGCCCAGGCTCAGGGTTCAAGCCCCATGACCCACCAAAAAAGAAAGAAATAGAGAATACCTATTTAAGATTAGTACCCTACTGCCTTAAAGGGAAATTTATATCCTAGCATGGCAAGCAAATGATCAGGATGTTTTTATCATTCCATGAGATCCACATCCAGGACAGACATTTCTAAGCAATCTGGGAATTCTGCTTGCCTACTACAAACAATCCCTATCATCCTCCTACACAAATACCCTATTACAGAGGTCTGCTGAATGCATGAGACTATCCTCGGGACCTCTCTAAAGATGTAGGCATCTAGGCTAATTCTTTTTGATGAGACTTGTACATTCTCAACATGGCAATTACATAAAATAAAGATTCAGAGTTAGCACCCAAACTCCTAACTCCTCTGAAGTCCATATAATGCCCAATCTTTTTCACATCTGCAAAAAATATAGCTTTACCTATGGAACTCACATTCGCTATATGAGAAATGAGTTTTTAATGTTATATGAATCATACAAGTAAAAATGCATTGCCCAGAGAAAAAATAATGTTCTTTTTAAGCCTTTCTGAATACTTAAAGGAAAAACTCAACTTGATGAAAGTATATAACTTCCTTAATCCACAGCCAACACCATGATAATTATTAAATTTTAAAGAAGTTTTTTTCCCTAAAATCAGGATCAATACAAGATATTCACGCTATCTCAAATCAACATTGAACTGCCAATGCAATCAGGCAAGATAAAGACATACAGATTGGAATAGACTATGTACTATTTGTATAGACTATTTGTAAGTGACATAACCACATATGTTTAAAATGATGAAATTTGCAAACGAAACTACTAAAACAAAATGGGTTTTCAAGTTTGTAAAGATGTAAGATTCAACATATGAATTTGTTGAATTTCTATAAATTGAAATAAAATGCAATTATTAATTGAATTAGGAAGTAAATCCACTCTCAATAGAATTCCAAGTATGTAATATTTAGTTGCATTTAATTATTGTGAAAAACTTTAAACCTAGCTAACAGAAATCATCAAAAGGAATTGATGCATTGTGTTCACTGGTGACTAAACCAAGTTTGTTGAGATGGCAATTAGTCTAAACCATTCTAAACTAGTCTAAATTAGTCTAAAGTTCAATGTAATTTTCAAAACCAAAATTCCAAAAGTCCTTTTTTTGGCCAAATTGTCAACTCTAACAAGAAATTCATATAGACTTGCAACATACAACCTTATAGTAGCCAAAAATAAATTCATTAAAAAGTGACAAGGCAAAAATTACTTAATTTTTAGAATTATTATAAACTTCTGTTAACAAAACAGTGTAATAATCATGAAAATGAAGAAAAGTCAACCAATGTGACAGAATTGAGAATTTAGAAACAAACCTACACATACAAAAAATAAATGCACAACGTGCAAAGAGTTTTTCAGTAGAGATGTGATAGTTTTTTCCCATCAAAAATTTTGCTAGAACAATTGGACATCTCTATGCATAACCAAAAAAATGGTTCAAAATAAATCACAGGCTTAAATGTCTCTAAATAACATATAATTATCATGAAGCATAGAACACTTTTGTGGTCTCAGGTTAAACAAAGATTTCTTATGCACACCACTACAGTATATCCTATAAAAAGAACAGATCATCAAAATTAAATAGTGCCCCTTTACAAAAATAATGTTAAGGATGTAAAGTGAGACTGAGAACATAGTAATATAATAATAATGAATATCTACTCTAATAATAATAAATAACAGTAATAACTATCTTTTAGATTTATTATAACATGTATAGAACACATAAAGAATTCTTAAGACTCAATAGAAAACAAATAAACATGTCAGCACAAACAAATATATGGATCAAAAATAAAAGACTAAATGCTGAACGACATCAGTCATGATGTAAATACAAATTAAACCTACCAAGAAGTATCACTATGTATTAATTGCAATAGTTAAGTAACACCAAAAATATTGACCAAGTATTGTCAAAAATGTAGAGCCGCTGGGTGGCTCATGCCTGTAACCTAGCTGGGGATCCTGAGATCTCAGGAGGCTGAGATCTGAGGATCACTGTTCAAAGCCAGCCCAGGCACTAAAGTCCATAATACTCTTATCTCCAATTAACCACCAGAAAACCAGAAGTGGCATTGCAGCTCAAGTGGTAGAGCACTCGCTTTGAGCTGAAGAGTTCAGGGACAGAACCTAGGCCCAGAGTTAAGGCCCCATGAACAACAACAACAAAACAAAAAAACACAAAAAAAGAAGAATGTAGAGCAGCTGGAACTCTTGTTTACTGTTGGTAGTAATGCAATGTGCTCTCATTACCTTGAATGGCATATTCAGTGTACACATTATGTGTAAATTGATATAGGTAATGAGGGTAGGGATGGGAGGGGAAAAGGGGGGAGAATGGTGAAAGGGGTGACTTTGACCAAAATGTATTGTCCTCATAACCTGACTTATGGAATTGTAACCTCTTTGTCCAACTACCAAATAACAAGAAAAATTACTTCCATATAATGTAGCCATGCTACTCCTGAGTATTTGCTCCAGAAGACATAAAGCAAATGCCCACATAAATTTCATAATACAGTACAATTGTTTGTATAGCTGTAAAGAAGAAACATCAAGATGTCCATCAATGGGCTGGGAAGGCGGCTCAGTGGTAGAGCACCTGCCTTGCATGCATGAGGCCCTGGGTTTGATTCCTCAGCACCTCATAAAGAAAAAAGAAAAAAGCCAGAAGTGGTGCTGTGGCTCAAGTGGTAGAGCGCTAGCTTTGAGCTGAAGAGCTGAGAGACAGCGCCCAGGCCCAGAGTTCAGGCCCCACAACCGGACCCCCCAAAAAATGTTGATCAAAATATGAATGGATAAACAAATTATAATTCATCCATAGAATGGAACAGTCCTTAGTAATAAAAAGTACTACAGGGCTGGGAAAGTGGCTCAGTGGTAGAGTGCTTGCCTTGCATGCATGAGGCCCTGGGCTCCATTCCTCAGCACTACATAGGCAGAAAAAGCTGGACTGGGCACTGTGGACTGGGCTCAAGTGGTAGAGCACTAACCTTGAGCTAAAGAGTTGAGGGAGAGCGCCCAGGCCCAGAGTTCAGGCCCATGACTGACAGAAAAAATAAATTAAAAAAATAAAATAAAATAAAAATAAAAAGTACTACAGATACATGTTGCAACATAATGAGCTTAAAAGTAGTTATGCTGAGATAAATGAGTAAAGGAAAGGAATGTACATTATATGGTTTAAATGCATATAAGATTCTAGAAATCTA